TATATATATATATATATATCTTATGTACCAATAAAAATAAACAAGAAATACATCATTTTTATTGGGACAAAAATTAAATCATCGTTGACTGTTTTTCTTCTATCTTGCTAATTAGCAAAGTAATTATATTCCGATCATATTGCATGAACTTGGAATATTTTTTGTACTTGCTCGAGGATAAATGATTTTCTCGGACAGTTGACATTGGGAGTCCAGTGTAGTGAACAGCGTAGGCGAGGCCCATGGAAGGATCGTCAGGGACACGTGTAGGCAAAATTTAAAGTGGAACTGTGAAGGTTGCAAGAGGCGGGGATTTTCTTATACTCAGACTTACATTCGTCTCCGCATTCGCCGAGGATCTCTTGATCCATCTAGTTCTGTCTTTGAACACGATCATTCTTTGTTAAGACTTTTTAAACGATATCTATGGATTTCAAAAATTAATCGGATCTTTGAAAAGTTAATGAGAACGTTTTTTCGATTTTTCTATTGAAAAGATGGAATACTCGCAGATTACAATTTTACTTTTTCTCTCATTATTGGCAATTGCTAACGCTGGATATTATTCAAGAATTCTCTCATTAAGCAACATAGGTAAGTTAATTTAGATAATGCAGAAATCGCTTCATTAAAGTATTGTAATAATAACTTTTAGGTTGCGAAACTCATACTTGTGGAGTCAATGCAAGATGTACACTCAGCGAAGGCAGACCAGTCTGTTCTTGCATGAATTTGCACATGGGGGATCCTCTTTCTCATTGCGCCAGAGTGGAATGTTTAAGTCAGTATTTATGTAAAAGATTTGTATACCCTAAGTATATTAAATAAGATTTTTAATTATATATTTAATTTGTAGTTAATGAGGATTGTATTGGAAGCAGAGTATGCACTAATAACAGGTGTGTAAATCCCTGTGATGGTTTGTGCGGTGTGAACGCGTTGTGTGAGGTCAGAAATCACGTTCCGGTATGTTATTGTCCTACTGGATATAAGGGAGATCCTTTCACTTCTTGCCGTATAGCTGACCCTCGTAAGTGATATTTTCGTACATGTTTCTCTACATATAAAACTGTTCTACTGTGTTAGTTCTTGGAAAGAAATTAGTAATAATAGAAACATTGTGTAATGTACAAAGTAAAACACTGTAATGTAAACATAGTTTCTCGAGGATATCTATTCCAAAGATTGTTTTATACGAGTTTAACATTTTACCTTTTACGTACCTATTTAATTCTATTTTTTATGTTCTATAATATATACATATCCTGTGTTCTGCATACATAAAACAAAATATCCTTCGAGATAAGAGTGACTGAAATATTAATGAAACGTTTCTAGAGGCTGCTTGTAAACCAAGTCCGTGTGGTGATAATACCAAATGCGAAGTAGTGAATGAGGTTCCCGTTTGCAGTTGCCTTCCGGGTTACAGAGGATCTCCTTTGACCGGTTGTCGTCACGAGTGTGAGAACGACAGTGAATGCCTGAATCATCTAGCCTGCTCGTCTAATTTCAGGTGTGAAAATCCGTGTAAATGCGGCGAAAATGCGGAATGTCACGTCATCAATCATCAGGCCAAATGTAATTGTCCAAACGTGAGTACTATTCTTGCCTGTGTCTTTCAAATAAATTTTGTAAAGATTGCGATGAACAATAACGAGGATACGAATATATTAGTGATTAATATAGATGAAGATAAATATTTTGATTTATTTCCTTTCGATATTCAACTAGAATAGTATTTATTCAAATATTTCGTTATTTAATAGATATTCGTAATAAAAGTACTACGATTCTTTTTTCTGAACAATTAATATAGAATCGATTAGAAATTGTATCTTACCTATCTAATCAGGACAGTAATTTGTTATAGAACTGGTTGGGAAATCCGTTCGTAGCTTGTCGTCCGGAATGTACCACGCATTCAGAGTGTCCAGGAAACAAGCCAGCTTGTTTGAATCAAAAATGCCTAAATCCTTGCGATGGAGTGTGCGGTGTGAACGCAGATTGTAATCTCAGAGACATAACTCCAGTTTGCAGTTGTCCGAAGCATATGACTGGCAATCCATTTGTCAGTTGCAGATTATTCGAAGCACGTAAGCGATTGCACGCAATGTGTTTTTCTGAAAAGTCGAGATTCATATCTTATAATTTCACCAATTACCTAATTACGTAGCAAATTTATTACGAATTCAAAAATCGTCCGGATTTGTTAATATCCGTAGGAGATTTGTGTGAGCCTAATCCTTGTGGAAGCAATGCAATTTGCACTCCTGGCCACGACAACACTGGAAGGGAGAGGCCAGTGTGCACGTGCCCTACAGGATACATAGGAAACGCTCTGGTTAGCTGCCAACGTGGAGAATGCTTTACTGACAGCGAATGTCCAGACAATAAGGCGTGTATTGGTTATTCTTGTCAAAACCCTTGTACTGGGAAAGAATGCGGACCATCCGCTATTTGCGCAGCCAGACGCCATATTGCAGTATGTACTTGTCCGGATGGAACTCGCGGGGACGCTCTTTACAATTGCAACCCAATTGAGAGTAGAATTGCGTACAACCGTAGCCGAGCTTATCGGTATCGTTATTACTGAGGATCACGATTAATCGTGATCGACATTGCGAGTAGTGTTTTCTGTATAAGATTAGCTTCCAAAGGGACATATATTTATTAACATCATTAACTAGTTCAACTAAATATACATATATATAATTGACTATGCAAAATAAATGTGACACATTATCAAGCTTTATTATTCTTTGATTGTAAGATAGATCCTCGGGTAATATAGTTTGTTTTCGCGATACAAAACACCGCTACCGTAGATAAAATTCAAATGTAATTTTAAATTGAATTCTATACCATATGTACAATAAAAAGGAAGTAATTTTACGTGTATAACATTTTTCAATCATCTTAAAAATAAACGTACTTGCACATGAAAGTGTTGAGTTTGTTAAATTCCGACTTTTACTTCCAGTTATTTTTACTTAAATTAAATTAAATGAGTTTCATTAAATCAGTACGTGCATGCACAAAGTATATATATATATACAGTATGCTATACTATGCGAATGTGATTTCGTGACAGCCCGATAGAGTCCGACAGCGCAGTATGAAAACGACTACGGAGGGGGTAGCAGCTGTTTCGCTGCAGTTTTTCACTTTTAGCCTACGCAGTTAGTTGAAAATCCTTGAAGAAAACGATCGAATTGATAGCAACGAGCCTACCTTCGGCGGCGAGGGTTCACTTTTCTTAGGGGCTGGCCCACTGGGCTCTCTCAGCCCAAAAGCGCGGAGAAATGTCGATTAGGACAGTAGTCCATCGTCTCGTACAAAATGGTCGGGCTTTGTTGCATTCCTTCAAAAATACTGAGTGTTTCTACTCTAATTTCCATCAAAGGAACTATCACGACAAGATACACGTTGTGCAAGTAGGTAAGTCCCTAAGAAAAATCTGTTTCTTCTTTAGGACTTCCATTGTCAGAG